TTTTGTCTAGAACTTAAAGTAGGAAGAACGATATAATTGGAAGGGATATTACAAGTACGAGAAACAAATTTAACAAATCGTTTTTGAATAATATTAATTTTAGCAAGGCATGTATTAGACATGCAGTTAAAAATAACAGAATTAAATTCGATATAAGGTCTAACAAGTGAACAATACAGATTAGTTAATGCTTTTTGGTTCTTAATATTCCAACTGTTGCGTTTAATTAGGCCTAGCATTCTATTACTTTTGCAACAAACCTGTTTTATATGCTCATTAAAAGTCAACTTAGAATCAATAGTAATACCAAGGTCACGGTGAAAATATACGACCTCAAAGACGTGGCCGTTAACATTATAAGGGAAAGAAATTTTACGTTGTTTAAGTGTGATAGTCAAAATCTTGCATTTGTTTAAGTTGAGGGACATTTCCCAAATGTTGCACCATAAGTACAATATATCTAAATCGTCTTGAATAGATTTGGCATCGTCAATCTTACTAACCAGTCGGAACAATTTAAGGTCATCAGCATATAATAGACATTGCGAAGTAAAATTATGAGGCAAGTCATTGATGAAAAGATTAAAACATAAAGGGCCTAAAATAGTGCCTTGAGGAACACCAGATTGTACCGATGTCCATTCAGACGTAGCACCATCAATAACTCTCTGTTCTTTATGTGTAAGATAGCTACGAAGGAGTTTCAATAAGTTACCAGTAACGCCGAATTTAGAGATCTTGTAAATGAGTAAATCGTGATTAACTCGGTCAAATGCTTTTGAAAAGTCAGTATATATTACATCACACTGAGAGTTATTATTGAGAGCATTATATGCAACAATTAAAAAGTTAGCTAAATTAGTAGTACAAGAACGCTTAGGAATAAATCCATGCTGAGCAAATTGAAAGTGCAGGAGCAACATGGTCATATAACACATCATGGATACGTTCATATATCTTAGCAATAGTAGGGCCTGTAGTTACAGACCTCATTTCTTTTACCACCTTTATGGACAAGGTGTACATTGGCCATTTTCCATGCTCTAGGGAACGTACCTTCACTAAGTGACCAGTTAAGAGCATACACGAAGGTTGAGAGATGGCAGGAGCACCAAGCTTAAGAATAATATTACTTATGTTATCACTACCAGATGACTTTTTTTACATCTATTTCACGTAAAAGTGTTTCAATACGTAAAATATCAATATTAAAAGTAGAAATATTGTCTAAGTCATAATCTGGAAGGTCAGGATAAATAGGCTTTGGATCGCTATTATTGAATACAGAACTGAAGTATTTATTAAATAAATTAGCTTTCTCCTTAGGAGAAGAGGCAGTAGTATCACCATGTTTCAAGTTTACAGGTTTAATTTTGCATTTATATGAGGATTTAATCCAGCCCCAAAAACGTTCAGGATTAGTTGTCATATTGTTTGATAATTTGGTAACATACAGTAACTGTAGTATTTACTACGAGAAAGTCTCTTGAATTCAGCTCTAGTGGCTGAAAAATTATCATTATTGGATGCATTAGGGTGTTTCTTTTTTAACCTTTAATTCTTACGAAGAAGATTACGTAATTCAACATCAAACCATGGTGGTACTCTCCGTCTAGGTTTTACTACTGGCACAACATCTTTGATAACTGCTAAGACCAAATAAATAAAATCATCAACAGCATCATTAACATTTTCACAGAGTTTTAGAG